AAATCCTAATTCTAAACAAATTAAATTACTTATTATGTAAAAAAATCCTAATTCTAAGCAACTTAAATTACTTATTATGTAAATAAATCCTATTTCTAACTTAAAAATCATAATTCTAAATAAATGTAAATATTATAATTATAATTTTAATAGAATTATAATTATAAGAATTTATTTAAAATTAATTATTTATTAAAATTTAATTATAATTTTAATAGAATTATAATTAAATTAAAAATAATAATTAATTTAAGTAATTTAATTTGTTTAGAATTAGGATTTTTAAGTTATATAAGTTAAAATTATAATTAATTTTAATAAATGATTAATTTTAAATAAATTCTTATATTTTTTAATATTTACATAACAAGGAAAAATATACTTGTGTTATATTTCGGCACGTCACTTTTGTGGCACGTTGCGATATGCAACATGCACTGTAGAATTTTCCTTTATTTACACAGTTAAAAACTATTTTATGTTATACAATTAATGGGTTATTGTGAGGAAAAATTCTATAGCGCTCGACGATAATTGACGAGCACGGTAAACGATGAACATCGTAAAACTAAATTAAAAAAATCGTTAAATCATAAAGTACTTAAAGTGTAATTATAATTTAGTTAAAAGTTAAAGTGTAATTTAATTAAAATACAATAATTTTAAAAAGGGTAAACTGCACCTGTGACCACCCAACTATAGCCCCCTTTTCACTATGAGCACCATTTTTGATTTTTTGTCAATCAGAACACCCAACTATTTAAATGAGTTCAATCAAGCCACTTTTCGTTAACAATTAACGGAAGTGTTGACGTGACAGTTAATAAAATTAGTCTAATTATATATCTAGTCCTTATTACTTACATATTTTACTAAATTGGTCATAATTTTAAATTAATTTAATATATTTAATCATTCAATCATATGACGACACGTGTCAAAGGTGACATGTTTCATGACACATGTTGCAACATGATTGGATGACTTTTTTTAAAATAATTTTAATATTTTAATTGAATATTATTTCCACCAATCCAATCATGTTAAAATATTAAAAAAATTTGATTTAAAATAATAAAAATAATTTTTCAGGAGATTTATAAAGGTCGTACACTACGTTCAGATAATAGCAGAAGACAAGCTGTGATGATCGTCAGATATGACACTGATGAAATTTTCAATAAGAATTACTGGATAATCCAGAATTCTTGGGATGAGGCCTAGTGCGAAAATGGATTTGGTAAAGTGAACAGGAACTTGAAGATAATCGTTATTTGGTCCGTCAGATCAGCTATCCTATATTTTTCACTACCAATTAGATTGTTCTTTCATGTTATAGTTGATAATATAATAACCTTTGGATTACATGAGAATCGTTATGACTATATTAACTATTATTTTTCTATCATTAAAAGTATCTAATGAATTATCCGATGCATCTTGTTTAGCTTATCTTTGATCATTACCCAAAAAAGAAAAAAATATTTTGAAATTTGTCTATCAGCGGTACAATTTAACTGAACCACATAATTTATGTGCAATCACGACTTCTTATTGGATAGTGTCACTGAACGTATCATATTGTTAATAACATGAAGTATACAGTGTCATAGGTTATTGAACCAGTCGAAAGGGGAATTGCTAAAATAAATAAGACCTTCCATCAGATATCGGAAAATGTGAGATGCCACGAAGTGGAGCGGCGGAGGAAACCCAAGGATGACAGTTATCTTGTCCCCTTGAATTCATGGAATAGGTAATTTTCTGAAGCTCACTATAATGTTGTGGAGGGCAGCATTAGCGACAGTGGTTTGGTGGGCCCCAGCAAGAGACGTGACCATATCCAAGCCCGGAATAAAACTGCTAGATTGTCTCAGAAAAGGTATACTTATATACAATTAATATACGGTTTTATCAGATATATTAAAAGATATTTGATAAATTTGGTTTAGCGTTATCGAAAATATCGAGTAATAATAATGTAATAGGTGGAAATCATGAAGAAATATTAAAAAAATTTGTCAACCGGCAAACTTAGCTTGTCGGTTTGTGTCGATACTTTATAAAAATATATTGATCCATAACAATATAACATGTAAAAAAATGACAAAACCTGTCTATAAATGACAAAACAGGTAAAGCGCTACCTGATATATTGAAAGTGTCGATACTTTATAAAAATATATTGATCCATAACAACATAACAAGTAAAACAAATGATAAAACCGATCTATAAATGACAAAACAGGTCAAGCGCTATCGGATATATTGAAAGTGTCGATACTTTATAAAAATGTATCAATCCATAACAATATAACAGATTAAAAAATGACAAAATCGGTCTATAAATGACAAAACAGGTAAAGCGCTACCGGATATATTGAAAGTGTCGATACTTTATAAAAATGTATCGATCCACAACAATATAACAGGTAAAAAATGACAAAAACGGTCTATAAATGACAAAACAGGTAAAGCGCTACCAGATATATTAAAAGTGTCGATACTTTATAAAAATGTATCGATCCATAACAATATAAAAAGTAAAAAGATAACAAAACCGGTCTATAAATGACAAAACAGGTAAAGCGCTACCGGATATGTTGATAGTGTCGATACTTTATAAAAATATATCGATCCATAACAATATAACATGTAAAAATATGACAAAATCCGTCTCGAAATGATAAAACCGGTAAAGAGCTACCGAATATGTTGAAAGTGTCGATATTTTATTATAAGTATCGGCACTTTTGGAATTTAAAAGAAAAGAAGTTATAGCGCCAATAAAGTATCGATACTTTATAAAAATGTATCGATCCATAACAATATAACAGGTAAAAATATGACAAAACCGGTCTATAAATGACAAAACGGGTAAAGCGCTACCGGATATATTGAAAATGTCAATACTTTATAAAAATGTATCGATCCATAACAATATAACAAGTAAAAAAATAATAAAACCGATCTATAAATAACAAAACAGGTAAAGCGCTACCGGATATGTTGATAGTGTTGATACTTTATTATAAGTATTGACACTTTTGGAATTTAAAAGAGAAGAAGTTATAGCGCTAATAAAGTGTCGATACTTTATAAAAATGTATCGATCCATAACAATATAACAGGTAAAAATATGACAAAACCGGTCTCGAAATGACAAAACCGGTAAAGAGCTACCGGATATGTTGATAGTGTCGATATTTTATTATAAGTATCGAAACTTTTGAAATTTAAAAGAGAATAAGTTATAGCGCTAATAAAGTGTCGATACTTTATAAAAATGTATCGATCCATAACAATATAACAGGTAAAAATATGACAAAACCGGTCTCGAACTGATAAAATCAGTAAAGAGCTATTAGATATGTTGAAAGTGTCGATATTTTATTATAAGTATTGCCACTTTTGGAATTTAAAAGAAAAGAAGTTATAGCGCCAATAAAATGTCGATACTTTATAAAAATGTATTGATCCATAACAATATAACAGGTAAAAATATGACAAAATCGGTCTCGAAATGATAAAACCGATAGTAAAAAGTGTGCTTGTGTGGTCATTTTTATTTCAGAATTTTTATTTTTAATACAAAAAGTTGGATATTTTAAGCAAAACCCAGTAAGAAAAAATAAAAACTTTGCAGTAACAAAAGAATAATATTGAGAAACCCACCATGTTATCAGTTTCTCAAAGAACAAAAACCTAGAAACATACATCTCTCAACGCAAACTTATGATATAATCTTATTATCTCCATAGGATAAAATTAGGTCATTTTAGTTTTATTTATTTTTTTTGTTAGGATTTTGTGTCATTGAAACTGTCGATTGAAGAACTCAAACTGGTGCACACATAAGTGTTGATTCAAAAAACATCGAAATCGATAATTATTATGTAACCAGTAACTTTACAATGTAACCGGTAAAAATATACTGGTTAATTAGCAAATAGGTTTACATTATGTATCGACACTCTTTAAATATGTGTCGATACTTTTTTCCCAAAATGAAAGCACAACGAGATGCACGCATAAAGTGTCGATACATTTAAAATTGTATCAATCCCAAAAACATCAAAACCGATAATTATAATGTAATAGGTAAATTTTTAATGTTACCTGTTTAAATATACATGTTTAGTTAGAAAATAGATCAATATAAGCGCTACCTATTACATTATATAAGCGCTACCTAATATATTATTGTACATGATAATATTTTCGATTAAATTATATAACATAACTGATCTAAATTTTAACCGGTCACTTGTTTAACATGTTACGTCGTTTTTTAGACGCCGCACAGAATAAGTTCCCGATAGATAGTATCTGCAGCTGTTTGGAGTTTTCAAAAGGTACTTTCAACATAGCTTTTAGCCGTACAATACCATAGATGCTTTGCATGTACATGCAAATTCGAGTCTTCTTAGATTTTCCTTTTCCACCTGCCCCTCTTTAACTGCTTGGTTTGGATGACGATGTGTTTCTAGGGTAAAGAAGTTGGGGGAAGGGGCGAGGGGGAACATGATCTCCATACATTTCTAACTTGAGAATGTATAGAGCAAGATCCCTACTAAAACTGCAAAATTTTGCTGGGTTTGGTAAATGTATAGACAACACACCTATGAACAGGTGAAAATCATAATGTTACTATATACACCCCCAGTGTACAAGTAATATTTACATTCGTTGTCATGTTTATATACACAAGATTTTTAATTATTATAGGTAAAAGAAGTTACCAAGCAAGATCACTGTCGACAGTTAAGGCTTTTTTTTGGTATAAACCAACCTTTAGTCCTTCAACTTAGTAGCTCTTTTCAGCTGGGTATCTGAACCTTTTATTTTTCGTGAAATTGCAATTTACTTATTTCTTTTGTGTGTGTGGGGGGGGGGGAGGTCTAAGTAATATTTATTTTTGGATTCTTCATTTCATTATTTTATATTTGTCATTACTAATCCATCACTTTACAAGGATAAGTAAGAAAACAAAAGTAGATGTTAAAGCAGATTTGGCGTACAATTTACAAGGCTATCAGGCTATTTACAGATGTATATGTACAGCAAAAGAGGAACCGAACTTCGTATGCCTGTTCTTTCCTTTCTCTTAAGGGGAAAAGGTTTTCCTCAGCTAGACTTTAACCTATCCAATCGATAAAACCTCTGCATATATTGAGAAAATAAAGCATTAAAACAATGAAGAAGAAGCCGGATGATGCGTCTACAAACATCGATTGATAATCCTCACCAGAATAGAGTGGATATGTTCTAGTAAAGGCACAAGTAATGAGATCAATGTCTGCATATCCTCTTTAAGGTTTTCGTAATTTTGATCTTTTTTCATGATGAGACTAATGAATGTCTTGTTATCCGGCACCAGTTTTAGAGCTACCTGTGAACTTGAATTCTGTTAGTTCATGTTAAATTAAAAGAAAATGTTCAAACATTACCTAAAAAAACATGTCAGTTGCTGTTATCTGGGGCAGGAATGCCTAAATACCTTAAAAGCAGCCGACGAGATCCATCCATGCCTAGGCTTCAAAGTAACATTATAGGATTCTTGAACTGCTTGTTCCATGTTCTGCTCAGGTTCCTTCACCAATCTTTGTAACAAAGCTGCCATAAAATCCATGGATCTGAAAGGGAAACGAGTTTATGTTAGACCCAAAAGTCAAAAGGCTGGTTTGGTTTTTCATTCTTCTTGAAGTACTTGTGTTTCGAATTCGTGTCCAATGCATGTTTTGGTAAAGTAAAGCTGAATCAACAGTAAATAAGTTAGATTACTCGAGAAAAGTTTTATTCAGATTTTCACTAGCTATGGATAAATTCGTGGTAATGGCATGATGCATGGTCCCCTCTCTCTATATATAAAGAAATAAATTCGAAAATATTCATGTGGGACATATATCTATATTCTGCTTACCTGGTAAGCCAGAGGAAGGCTTTACTGCAACTGCTACCCTTTCTTGCATTCCCTTCACTCTCTTCCTTTTTCAACATCTCAATCAAATTCGAATACATTGTAGGATCCGATTCCAAAAGAATCTCCAATCTCTAAAAAATGAATAGAAGAGAGGCAGTTCAGTCAATCTATAAATAGTGGAGTTTTCCCATGGACAGAACTGCCCATGTAAAAACTGGTTAAATGACAAAAATAAAGACAAATGAAGTGGAAGATTGGGTGTTCTTGTCAACTACGCAGAAATTAAGTTCTTTCTTCAACTATGCAGTTTTTTAGTTTTACTTTTAACCTGGATGTTTTGATGAATGTCTTGTCTAAGGACAGCCATAGTCGGGCCTATCTTGTCTGGAAAAAAAGTAGGAAAAGGAAATTTATGTCGATATATTGAAATCCACATGTTTGGAGAATGATAAAGAGTAGAGAAGGAAAAAAACTGACCAAGAACTTGAAGAATCAAAGTGCAGACATGAAGAAAAGGCTTGGTTGATATATGAGCAACGTCTGCAACTGCTGCAGAGTGAGCTTTGGTTAACATGGAGAGTTCTTCAATGGCGGACCTTATCTCTGTTTTCGTTTCCATTTCCCTTTTTCTCTTCATTTCTTGATATTGTTGGTCGTTGATGGATCATTCCAGTTAACCTTATATAGCTCACAAATCATTTTTTTCTCTGGGTAAATAACATTGCTGGCATGAATAAACATGGAGAAACATTTCTCTATAACCCGAAACCCCTTTGTATATTTTAATTATTCCATATTTGTTGTGTGTGCAAGCCATTGAAAGTGACTTTGTATTTGACCTTGAAGTTATCTATGACCTATCATCTTACTGTTTAAGATCTCAAAGTGTTAGCTTAGCCTGAGTTTTGATCTCATCCATGACCGCATGAAACTGTTGTGGGCCCTTGTTTTATATAAATACCATTTGTTGATATGAAGGAACATTTATCATCAACTTGACAGAACAGATTACAAATTCTCAAATTGAACAAAACACTTCAACAGGATTGCACTATGACCTTGATATAGAAGTTGTTTCAATGATCAGACCTCCTCAATATAAAATTTTTGTTTAAAGGTCGCTCTATAACTTTCTCAATGTGAAAGATGTGAGAATATTAGTTTTAAGTTTCTATGTCATTATGATGTTTTGTGTTGTACTCATCACGACGTACTTTCTAATAAGGAAATGTTGACGGTTTTTCATAATTAGATCTCCTTTTGAGGCACTTTGTCAATGCATTCAGAATCGTTCACGGAACAATATGTCAAATTGATTATCAACCTTTATGCTTACGTCAATATTGCGTTTAATTTTAAATGGAGATAAAAAGATTATTGATAGTTGCTAGGTTTCTAGAGATGAAGCTTGTTTTCAAGAAAATATATTGTTTTTATTTTTCTTTACGTCATTTGAATTTTCATGTTGAAGTTGTCTTTATTGTACATTGCCTTATACCAAATAGAAAACCAGCTTATTATTTAAAAAAACTAAGAACAATAGGATTATGTAGAAAAAGAAATTATTTGAACATATCATAATGTTCTAGGTTATATTTATTTAATTAATTTAAATTAATTATGATATTATTATTATTAATTAAATTAAATAATAAATGATATAAAATTTAGTTATTATTAATTTAATTTAATTAATGTGAGGAAAATAATAAATAAGAGAGTTTAATTTTGTGGATCATTCGGATAGAGGAATTATGTTAAACAAAAACTCTCTTTTACATCTTATTGATACAATAGAAGAAGAGTATTAATCCAAGTCATTTTTGGAAGCATGAAACAAGCGATTTCGGTAATAAAAGAATTGTTGTTGTTTCTTGAGATTCTGAGTTTGAGTATCATGAATGTTATGATATGAACGTTCAATGTCAAATGGTTAAAAATATTTTTTGAACATACATTGCCTTATACTTACTCGATATTAATAAAATAAAAACATTGGTAAGGGATAATACAGAGACCGGATATGTTTGAAACTTTTATTTAATTTCGTCTTACATCATGCAAATAGAAGCGTCTAGGTTATTACACTGAAAACCTTATATTTTAAAACCTGCTAATGGAAATGGAATCTTTTGCAATAATATTTTATTCAGCTTGTAGTTATTTTCATTTACACAGTTAAAAACTATTTTAAGTTGATACAATTAATGGGTTATTTATTGTGAGCCAATTCTAAGTAGTGTTTTCAAAACTAATTTCGTTTCTTTTACATTACAAGTGAAGTGATGCTTAAGCATTTTTTTTATTCCAATGTAGATTGAGCATAGCTCCTTAAAAATACAATGCATACATATATTCAATCTTATTTCCCATTCTCCAAATTGTACAAGTAATAATAATCATTAACAAATATAAAAAAAATTAAAACCAGAGAATATAAACAATTTTAAAAACATAAATTTGAGAGACAAAATATTATTATGTGATAAATAAAGATATAAATTACACCTGCAATTTGCCAACTTGATAAATCATCACAAAAGTTCGAGGTGTGAATGTAATAAGATCCTTTTGAGAGCAGCCCTAATAGGTTAGATAACATCGAGACACGAGTGGTTGCATTAATTACAACTAAAAAACAATCCACTTGATGATGTAAAATAATAATAATTATTAATCTTCTGTAAGTATATAACCAGTTAAGTAGTGGTGTTAGGATGATTAGTCTAATTTAGATGAAATTTCTTAAGTATTATTATATCTGTTAAAATTTATTTAAATTTTCTTTAGTATTATTTTAATGTATTATTTGTAATTATAACTGTACGATATAATTGATTGAAAATATATATTAGGGCTTTTGGATTTGGAGCCCATATCTGATGGGCTTCATGAGAAGCTAATCGTAAAATCTGATGGGTTTAATATTAGCCTATTGTATTCAAATGGTAGCTAAATTTTTGGCAAAGTTTTATCTTTATTCATACTATTTCAGTGGCAGTTAATCGGTTTAGCTGAAAATGGCGGTTGCTGCTGCTGGTGGAGCAGTAACAGTAACCACAACAAGCTAACGTTTACTTTCAGCCCCGCGCACGTTAGCGGCTATCAGGACTTCGCCATTCGTGACAACGTTGTCGCCCTCGAAGTTGGATGTTTTCCCAGTGCGGATAAGGAACAATGAACTCGCAAGAAAGAAGCTTTTGGTTATCCGAGCTGCAAGAACCGAGTCTCAAGGCGTTTCTCTTGGTTCCAGGGCGCCTAATTTCCAGGTTTCTTCATTACCGATATCCTTACCAAAATAAAATTTTTAAATGTTAAACACATTTATCTCTTTACCCTTATTTATTGCAAATATTTTTGTTTCCTTTGGAGAGGGTTGTTGCCAGAGACTCTGACTGGGAAGACTTGGAATTTGGAAGATTTTGAATCATACCCTGCTTTGTTGGTAATGACCCATTTCTTTTCTTGCAATATTTATTCTGTTTTAATCCTTTTTCTTATTCTTTGTTCTGGATTAAATTATCAGTTTTATTCTTTAATTATCTGTTTTATATGCTTTGTTGTTACTTGGTATAGGTTGGACTTACACTACAGATAGTTACAGTAGGTTTCTTTTGTGAAATTTGTAAATGAATGGGTATTTTCAAGGATGAAGAGATGTGAAATCCCTTCTTGTTTTCTTTTAACATTGCTTAATTTGTATATCTTTATTGAATTTCATATGAAGTTTTAAGGTGAGGCAGTATGGGAAAGGAATAAGGATTTTGTTAATTTATTAATTGGGGTCTCATTGGATTTAGATAAGAACTGAAATGATTCAAAATGAGGATTGTCGTCACTTTGGAATTTGTACTTTGGGTGTCATTGTTCTTTATCTATAGTGAAATGCCTTGTATTCGATATGTTTTGTTTTAATTTGTTTGAAAGGGAATGGTTTTATTGTTGCGGGGTTTCAGTAAGTGAATAATTAAACTGAGTTTTTGTAGGCTAGTCGAAACTAGTAGGGTGATTAGAATTTCTTATTAGAATAGATAAATTGTTTAGATTAGAATATATAAGCGGTTATTAGTATAAATTTAAGACTGTAATATCACTGGTTTTGAAAGGGAACTGATAGTAATGGGGACTATAGATGAACAATAACCAGTATTTTTATTTAGTTTTCAGGATTATTCTGACTCAGCCAATGCTTCAAAAATGTTAAATTTTGGGAGTGTAGAAGCTCCCAACAGGTATTACTACGAGCACCTGCTGTTTCAGTTTCAGGTGCTATGGCAGTTTTACAGTGATACCACGGTTTGGTTTATGTTTGTTCATTTTTGTAGCAGAAAGACTAACTGTTTTAGCATTTTGGACAAGTCCAAAAGGATTAAAAAGAAAAGTATTTTTGGATCATTTTTGTTTAATCAATGTGAATTTATGCCTCTGTCTGCTGCTTGGAAATAGCTGGAGTTGTTTTAGTTCGCTTAATGGTGCCCATCTGAGAACTAGGTCAGTAGGACATGCTCCAAGGTTGAAGCTTAAGTGTTGATTTTGGTCCAATGCTAAAGCTTTAATATCATGGGGCTTGTAAACAGACAATTCATTTATGAATAAACATCGCATAGTGGAGTGTCCATGGCAGTCCTTCGAAATCCATGGCCTTGTATGCTTCTTGGTTCAATTGTTTTAATGTATAACCGTCACTTCTTCTATTAAGCATTGCCAACTTTTATATAGAAGTATAACTATTCATGTTCTCTGAATCTACTAGCTGTCAGATGATGTATACCTAGTACTTGAAAATGGGGGGCACACTTTTCCCTTGGAAAATGTCAAATATATGTAAGTACGAATAGATATAGAAGGCAGATGATTGCCTCAGTCAAAACATGAAAAATCCAGATTTAACTAGTATTATACTTGATTTCACTTGGCCTGTTGTAAAGAATCACAAGCAATTATACTAGCTAAATTAATGGAAATAAATTCTGAAAATATCACAGAAAGCATTATAGTTTTAATGAATAGTAGAGTTGAAAAATTATGTCCACATGCATTTTTTTGGGTTCTTAATTATTTATGGCATTTCTTCTCTTAATTAAGTATATTTATCATAAGAGTAATAACACGTTCTTTTTCAGGTTATGTTTATATGCAACCACTGCCCATTGTTAAGCACCTGAAGAAGGATCTTGCGAAGCTTTCCAATTTCTATATGAAGGTAGCCAAGTGCCCTTCCACTTTCTGGGTTATTCAGCTTTCTTTGTTTCCTGTTAAGGAACTTGGAATGATAATTAACTGTACAACAATTCAATTTTTTGCATTCTGTTGCAGAAAGGGCTTGCTGTTGTTGCTATATCTTCAAATTCTGTAGCCACTCATCCACAGGTTCCACTAATCCCCTAGTTTGAGAATGGAGATACTATGAAGCTACTTGCATGATTTTTTTCCAAATGAACTTTTGTTCACAGGATGGACCTCAATTCATGGCAGAAGATGCTAAGCTATATAATTATCCTTTCCCTTACCTATATGATGAGGTATTCCAGTACTATCCTTGTTCTTTTTTATTTTTTTTTATTTTAAAAAGGAAAGTATAAATCAAGGAAAACATTATTATGAGTTTGCCTTTCCCTTAACAAAAAAAGTTAAAACATGCAACTGAGTTTATAGGAATATGAAAACCTTAGGACTGCAAGAATATGACTATGGAAATAAGGCCAAAAGCAGACTTCCAAAAAGTACTAGAATCTGTTTTCTGTTTCCACAAT